TTTTTTCAACTTAAATAATTGGTCCGCTCGTATAAATAGCTTTTTTGTTACGTGTTTTTTCTACTTGCGTAGCATGAGGGCTAAACATGATTCCCCTCTCTATGAATTAATTTCGCTAACAAACAACAATTGTTTTCTAAAACCAAGTAAATTCCCCCTAAAAATATCATAGTTCCACCAGTTTTTATATTTTCGTCTTAAAAATTTTTTCTACTACTCGTATTTTTTTTCCCCGCGTATCAAACTGAGTAAAGTTACTGAAATGTGTTTAATCGGGTAGATTTTGTGAAAACTTTTCAATAGCGTATGAACAAACAGAGAAATTGATGTACTTTATGTTTCCGCATTTAGGCGCGCAAGTAGTTAAATTTTTTAATGAAGTTTTCAAATTCTGTTTTATTCCTAAATAAATTAACTAAGGTTTTTTATTATTATTGAGTTTTACATAACACAATTATTTACTTAAATTTTTTGCATTAGGTAGCATGGGGGCGCACATTTTTTGCAATGCTTATAAATAAAAAATGTTGATATATTTTTGTTTTTAAGTCTAAAGTGGCTATTTTAAATATATCAAACAACCGTATTTAGCTATAATTAATCTAATATTAACTAAAAGGTCTTTTAATTTATTTGGCACTATTTATTTTTTTAAAGTAAGTCAATAAACGAAATAGTTTAAAAGCATCGATGCTCAACGGCCAATCATCATTATCATCACCACCATCATTTATCGGCTGCAAACAGGGTAAGCTTGAAGTCGGCAACAACTACTTTAATACTTTCCGTGCTTGATCAGACAGGCCTGACGTTGCTACGTTCCTGATCTCTTTTGCTGTTAGTGGCGGTTTACTATATTATATTGGAGATAAATGTTTAAGGTTTACCTAATAATCAGACTCGATGACGATTTTCTTAAGTCCTCAGTACGTATTGGGTAATAAGATTAGTTGAGACTAAGTAACTAGTGCAGTGTCTTAAGAAATTGTTAAATATGAAGCCTGAGCTGATTTACTATTTTACGTATTAACTAGGGATGTACTGGAATTCCGGCCGGATTTTTTTCTTTTAAATCAATTCGCTTCTGGCTTTAAATAAACTTTTTTTTTTACTTTTTTTTTATGATATGTGACACAGGCTTTGTAAATAATTCAAAAAAACATTTTCTTACAGAGCAATGATGAACTATAGGTAAACCGAGCTAAAAAATACAAATGGTATTTTTGCATATGTATTTGCAGTACTACTATTTCTGAAAATAAACTTAAATTTGTATTTTAAACCTAGCTTTACCTATAGTTCTTCATTTCTCTGTAGGTTAATGATTTTTTGATTTATTTACACAGCCTATGTCACATATCAGCCTATGTCATGAATAAAAATTAAAAAAAAAAGTTTAATTACAGCCAGAAGCGAATTGATTTGAAAAAAAAAAATCCGGTCGGAATTCCGGTACATCCTTAATATTTTACCTATTTAATAGCTTTGCATATGACAGCTACAGATTAATACTTAGTAAAAAAATAATTGACGAAGCCAATTATTTTTAAATGTGTTTTGGAGTTTTTATGTAAGAATCTAAGTTTTGCCGCCATGAAGTTGGATTGGTATGCATGCTGCTTCAAAATTTCCGCAACTGCACAGATATCTGAAATTTTAGTAGCAATTAATTGTGCGACTTACAAACTTCCTTAAAAAACAGCCCGTTGCATAATCTTTTGTTCAATATAGGCAAATAGACAACTTTATTGACAACCTTTACTGAGGTGTATGCTAAAAGCGAGCGCAAATATGACAATAAATAATTTTACCTTATTATTATTTTGTTTAATTTTTTCTTTTAGTTTCCGGTTGCCTTAAAACATTTATTTTAATTAAAATATGGAGGCATTAACAACTTGACTATTTATGTATGTATGTATGTATGTATGTATGTATGTATGTATGTATGTATGTATGTATGTATGTATGTTTGTATGTATGCATGTATGTATGCATATATGTATATATGCATATATCTATATCTATATCTATATATATATATATATATATATATATATATATATATCTATATATATATATATATATATATATATATATATTATATATATATATATATATATATATATATATATATATATATATATATATATATATATATATATATATATATATATATGCAGTATAGCTTAATTAGGTAATCACTCGTCTTCAGTAAAAAAAACTTATAGCAAACGAAAACAATTGTGTCGTTTTTTTTAATGCAAAAAGAGTCAAATTTAAAAAGCCTGAATTAAAAAAAAAAAGTTTTTTTTCTTTGTAATTTATTTTGTGCAACAAATTTTAGGAAAGGATAATACAGCTTTTATATAAGTTCTCATAATTTTATTATTTATTGTGAACTACTAATTATCTTTAAAAGTTTTTTTCTCTTTCAGATTTATGGTATTTTTTAATTGCAATTTGCTTTGATTTTGATAAAGGAATTCAGACAGTCTTGAAACAGCTTTCAGCATTTATTTAATTAAAATAATAATTTTTTCTGTTGCTATTAAACTCTGATATTTTTTATTTCTCTTGCTTTTGACTCGTCCAATTATGTCTTTTAAACACGAGATGCTTCTTTAATTCTACCATAATCCTAATTATTATGTAAACTAGGTTATTGTTAATAAATATTTTATAAACAAAAAACTACTTTCAACAAACAGGACAATATAATTTTCGGCGACTATTGGAAGGTTCATTAATTAACTAGCAGTAAGCAACTCGTAATAAGGATTATTAGTGAATAAATCAATAATAACAATTAACTTGATTTATTATCTGAAAAATATAATATTAAAATATATATTAAATACAAGTTTTTGTTAACGACATAAACACTACATTTCATACAATCAATTATTAAATCAGTAAAATCTTATTAAAAAAAAACAACAACCATGAAATATTTAAGAACTTAATAATAACATAAAGAGTTCCGTTAATCATCCCTTTATTAATAAACCCTAAATAAAAAGAGAAAGAAACAGACAACGTTTTCAATGGCACTGCTACGTTAAAAAAAGTTGAACAGCATACAACAAAATATTATGATTTATTAAAGAACTTATTATAAACATAACAAAAGTAATTTGACAATTACAAAATCAACATTTGTTATAACTTTGTTATAACATGTCGTTAAAATAATATAATAAAATAACATGGTAGTACAAAATAGCTATAAACCAATAATCCATGAAAACTGATTTTGTAATGATACCAATAACCAAAATTAGTTTTACCTCAATTATGCAGAATTCTAATTTCTTTTTAACTGTTGATTAATGATTAACACAGTAAATTTCAAATAATATAAATTTACTAAATTAAAACCATGTTTCAACAGTAGGCGAATATAAAAAGCAATGACAAAATCAACTAAAAAAAAAAAGAAAAATATATTTAGACAATGTTTAAATTTATAAAATTAATAAAAATAAATAAATAAAATCATTTAATATGAGACTATTATAAATGGTTACTATGAAAAGTAAATAAAATATATAGCAACTATTATAACTCTTTAAAAAGTAAGTTCTGATAATTACCTTAAATATATTGGTTGTGATATCTTAAATTATTTGAAAGAAAGAAAAAGAAAAGAAGAAATAAAAAGAAAAGTATAGTAAAAAATAGATATACAGTTATAAATAAATAGATATACAATAAGTTAGGGGTATATCTTGATCGGCCTAAGGTTATCTACACGATGAAAAACTTGACCACATATTCTAAAACACAGCGGCTCATGATTCATAGGTTGAACTACATTAGCTGTAAATGAAGCAAGCAGACAGGCATTATTATTTCTTTATAATATAGGCATTAATATAATAAAAGGCATTATCATAATTTCTAATATATTTAAAAAAATTTATATTAGAATTATGATGTTTTTAGCTCCCAGTAAACAACTCTTGTAAAACTTGCGGAAATGATTAAAATGGAGGCAAAACTACCTTACCATTATAGCAACATATAAAATCTTTTATCAAAATATTTTTTATCTGACAGGTCTGGTTCACTTCTCCTAATTAATTTTGATCTGGAACAGAATTACTTCTTGTCTAGCAACATTTTGAACAGTCTAGCAAGATATTATACTAATTATTATATGTCTAGCAAAGTATCTTCCTTGTTCAGCAAAATATTATGCATTTTGTAGATGATTAATTTCATCTCACCTAGCCTATCTCTTTCATTTGACAAGGAATATTATAAACATGACTAATCACATTATTCTCATTTCCACTAATAACTTCTTCAAGCCTAATATCATCCATATCAATGTAACTATTATTATTATACATATAACCAGTAGTATTACTTCTACTACTTTATTACTTTACTACTACTGTAGTAACGTAAAAAAAAAAAAACGTTAATAAAAAAACCCTGTTTTTTATAGTTGTTTTAATATAATTATTCATTTTTGTACAAAAAAAAAACAACAACATCTGCAAACATAATAAAGATATGAACAAACTGTTTCTGCCTTTAGTCTTCCACGAAAATAAAAACTATTAAATTTTTAAATGAAGCTATATGTAGTTAATAGTAAATTCACTTTTGTTTTAAGACACCTAATTAATGAAAAAAGTATTCACAAAATGTTTATATTGTTTTTTCTTTCAGTTCTCATTTTCACAATTAATGATTGTAAACCAAACTTTTTTACAAGATCCTCTAATTCTGGTTTTTTTAACATTAACGCAAACTTGTCTTTCATAATTGGCTCATTTGAATATATTACATTAGATAAATGCGTATAAATAAGCCTCCTATCTTCTTCAGTGAATTCTTTCCGACTTCGTTTAAAAGATGTCTCAGCACTTTCTGGAGAAGGTGGAACATAATCATCATGGTCAAAATCTTCAGATTTATATACCTCCTTTGCAGCATAAAACAAACGTTCATCATTGATAATACTTTCAGTGCTATAACTTTCTTCCTTTCTTTTCCTAAGTGGATATACTTTTTTTTGAATTTCTTGTGAAATAGGGGAGCTTAATGCAGAAGTTTCATTTATAAAATCAACATTGTCAAAATTAGGTTCTGTTTCTGACAATTGTTGATTTGGCCTTTGTGTGAGTTTTTTTCTTTTGATAGCATATCGAACTTTATCAACAATTTTTTTTACCTTTTCATCACATACATTTTCTGAAGAATTAGCCAACTTTTTTTTTACATCAGCTACTTTTATAGACCCCTTGTTTATTTCATTTTCAAACAAATTCAAAGGTATGCTTTTCTTTTCTTCTATTTTTGTTCCCTGTTCATCTGTTAATGATCTTTGAATTAAACACAGTTTATTACTTGTACTTGACGCAGCATTATATTTGTCAAATATGGCATAGTTGCTCTCTGCTACTTTCAAACTGTGACATAAATGATGTGCAATATTTTGCTTCAAGCTGGGAAAATTTTGATGAACTTTTGTTGTCGTAAATTTTCTCACTATTGTTGGAGTCATTCTAGTATAATCTTCCTTTACCTTTTGCCTAAAGCACGATTCCAAAATAAATGAAACTGAGAAGTGATCATTGATGAGTCCATTGGAGCACCATTATAACTCAAAAAAACAATTGCTGTATCTGTGGGAAGAGAAATTCCATTAAGTTTATTTCGAAAAAACTCTATATATGTATTTACCTCATTGTAAAGCTCAAAAGTTAATACAATATTTGCAGGCCCTTTATACGATGTTTTATGCTTTTTAATGCTAATTGTATAACAATTTTCTTTATATAATGCTCTGCGGAACTCACCAATAGTCATATTTGCAGAAGCTCCTGGTCTTGTAGCATTATTAAGAATTGTATACGCTAACAAATATGATCTAACTAAACAATAGTTGGATTTTGTAATAACAAAACCCGAAGATTTAGAAGCCTTAATAGTGTCTTTTGCACATTTGACATAATCAGATTTATCTAATGCGTTTATTTCTTCAGAAGATGGAAAGTTGTTGAAATCATCCATGTCTTTTTCATGTTGTCTCTCCTGAATGCCTTTCCACAAACTGCGCTTCCACTGCTTCATAGAGATTTTTAACTTAGAGTATTCTTCATTAGAAATAATTTCAAGTTTTTCTTTAGAAATGCAAAAGTCTAAAAACAATTGTAGAGAACCTAAATAGGTTTTTATTGTTCCTGGCTGCTTTTTATCTTCTTGCATTTTTAACATCCAAGAATTTAAGAAAGAAACACAACCGAGATGCTTGTAATTTACATCGTCATCTGCGGCATGACGAACAGCTCCTAAAACAACATTTTTATGTTTCAGGGCAGTGCGAAGAGGTTTGATACCACCCTCAACACTTTGAAGCCAAATTAGAAATTCATCTAATAACTTATCTTCTTCAGATGGAGTCATATAAAACTTATCTTCACCATCATCAAAGTCAACATTTGATTCATCAGAATAAGAGGCATCTTTTTCATTTTTGGTACTTGCAACATTAAAAAGATTACTTTTGTTATCTCCAGCATGAAAACTATTACTTGATTTAGGGAGCCTTTTGTCTAAATATTGCAAACTTAACCAGTCTTGATTTTCATCGTCTGAATCACTACACAGAAAATTATTGTCATTATGAATAGCTCTATTAAAATTATTTTCTAATAAATCATATTCTACTAAAGATTCAGAAGAAACTTCATCATTTGAGCTCATATCTGAATTCTCATCATGGAATGTTTCCAGAACAGGTCTTGAAAACAGCATTGCTTTTTTTATTTCCTCCTTTGATTTTAAGCCATGGTATTGCCTAAGATGGTTATTAATTCTTTTAACTTCTTTGGAGCAATGTTAAAAACCACATATAGTTTTTTTATAATTACGGATTTTGGAACGCCTTTTAGAAGGAGAAAGTACTTTTCTCTTGAGATTTAAGTCGAAATTAATCCTTGCGCTCTTTGCTTTTGGTTCATCCCAATCATGTTTTTTAGACATTAAATGCCTTTTTAAGTCTACCACACTTCTAACAATAAAAAATAATCTTTATTATTTAATATTATTTCTAAAAAAGTTTTCCTTTTCAATATTATAAAAGTTTTTCTTTTCAATATTTCTAAAAATGTTTTCCTTTTCAATATTATATTAAAACTTTTTTCAACTATAATAACAACAACAATAACAATAATAATAATAATAATAATAATAATAATAATAATAATAATAATAATAATATTAATAATAATAATAGCAATAATAACAACAGTAATAATAATAATAATAATAATAATAATAATAATAATAATAATAATAATAATAATAATAATAATAATAATAATAATAATAATAATAATAATAAATTAAACCATAACAAAAATTTCCAGCTTTATTATTACTTGTCCTTGCTTTAAGGACAAAAATTAAGTCCTTGGTATTTAATTAAGGAACAAGTTATCATAATATTAGAACTGGTAAAATTTAATGTCAAACTAAAAA